AGGGAAAGGAGGAAGCCTGTGAGCAGGGATGCTGGGGAACAGGGCATCTGTGCTCAGCACCAGCCACAGGCTGAGTCTGCAGCTCCCAAATCACGTCAGGCACAACCCCAAACCAAGAGCCATCCCTCCTAGAGCAGCGAGAGAAGTGCCACGTGCCCTGAGGAGCTCCGCGCGGCAGGCGCAGGCTCACCCAGAGCGTAGTTCTTGCCAATGAGGTCACGCACGATCTGGAAGGCCACCAGCAGGTTGCGGGGATCCTTCTCCCCGTCCATCACCTGGATGAAGCCGAACGTGAAGTCAGCGCCCAGGCCCTTCAGCTCTGCAGGAGGGAGGAGTGTGAGCAGGAAGGGCTGCAGAACTCCAGACCTCACCCATGTGAGGGTGAAATCAGCCCTGCTCCCCTGGCGCAAGAGCCCTGCCAGGTCTTCCCAAGCAATGCCACACAGCCCCTGCCCCAGGAAGGGAAAAGCACCATCTTTGCAGCCTGAGCAACCCCAGAGCAGTTCCGGCCTTGGCCCCCTCACCTTCCTCCCTGGAGCCCATGAAGTTGGTGATGATGCTGTAGACTGTGTAACGGTCCAGCTGCAGCAGGGACTGCGGGGAGGAGCAAAGCAATCAGAACAAGCCTCAATACCTGGCAGCATTGCTAGACACCACCCCAGGGCACCCACATGCCCTTGAGCAGCAAGCAGCACTGCCAGCAGCTCAGCTGCTGCTTCCCGCCACACAGGTCCCATTTACTATGTGCAAAGAGTGCACATGCTCAGGCGACTGCACCTGAGCACAACTGCACATATACACACCCCAAATCCTGCCACCCAGGGCCCTGCCAGCACAGACAGTCTCAAGAAGTAGGAAAATTTGGGGGTGGGAGTCTCTTAAACCCAGCTTGGAGAACACAACAAAGTTAATTGCCCCAGGGGCAAGAGAAGACAGGGTGAGGGCCAGACATGAACAGTTGATCTTTGCCTTTGCACGTCACCTCTAAGCTCCCCAGGAACACCACAGTGGTACTGACTGCCACCAGCTCGCTCCTCAGGATAGACACCCAGAGAGCAGAGACAAAAGCTGGGACAGTCGCACTGCTCACCTGCACGTGCACCTCCTGGAAGATGGCTTTGAGCACAGATACTGCCAGCCCCGGCGCCAGCGCCTCACACATGCTCTGCAGAGAGCGAAAGCAAAGTAAGAAAC